TACAGCACTAGAAACTACGACACCGAAGCTTTGGCGTTCCCCTGCTGCAGTATCATAGATCCGAGTTATGTCCTTAGCCCTTGTCTCTACCCTATAATATATATAATTTAAGAGTAGAGTTTTTGTTGCTCTCTTTTGATCTTTCCCCCTTTGTATAATAATACGTCTTTTCTAAAGTCCTTGTTAGTCGGTATCGTGATAGATTATTGCACTTTTTCTTTTATAGTTACTAAGCCCGATGATGCCCTATTGTTTTGCTTTCGACTAACTTTAGAATCGGTGCCGACTCCGAATTTTCTTTAATCCGAGACCCTATATACTACCTAGCCACCTTATATATTACCCTAATTATAGATTCTACTTCTAGCGCTTCGTTTAATATATTCACACTAGATTTTAGTATAGGAACCCTATATAATATTCTAGCCCGCGACCTCTTTCTTAAAGGAGAATGGCTATATATTTATACGGTTATTCTCTCTATTGAGAGTAACCTATCCGGCCTTACTTCGGTAATAGAACGGGATTTAAATTTGTTCTCCTAATTCTAACTCTACTTTAGGGCTATTAAGACCTAGTTCTCGAATACCTATACGCGTATCTTTGAATTTTAGTAATAGGCCGAGGCGGTTAGTAATTAAGCCTTGTAAGTTTAATAGTAGGTTAAAGCGGTTAGGAATTAAGCCCTATAAACCTAGTAGTAGATTTTGGAAATTAAAGTTTAAATATAATGATGTATTATTAAGGCTATAGTATAGGTATGGGATTAGGTTGTTTAGGTTGTTACTTAAGCCTAATAATTCTATTATAATCTTACTATAATGTTTACTTAAGTGGTATCCTACTAGCTACGAGGCGCCGAGCCCTTTGTTTTTTTCGGGCGCCGAGACTTCCCTTATCAAACGATAATAAGAGTATACTAATTAGAAATTGTGTGTTTATATTAAGTTTACTTTTAATAATATAATTTACCCTACCCCGGCTAATTATAATCTTTATATCTCTTAATAATTATTTAGTAATATTTATACCTAAGTACAGTCTAAGGTCGATATTATTGCGTTGGTTCCCTTCGATTCCTCTATTTAGCCTTTAAGCCTCTTCGATTTTTAGGACCTTTTTAAATAGTTTAACCCCTACTATATTACCTTTAATATTTATATTGAGGCGGTATAGGAAATAGACTATCTTAAGTAGGGCGGTTCTATCTTTGCCGATCTTATTATAAAGTTTATTAAGTTAGTAGATTTTTACGAGTTTGATAGATAGCGGAGGGTTAACGCTTTTAAAGCGAAGGTTAGCCGGGAATTTTAGGATGCCTTAGTTATTATTATTATACGCCCGGCCCCTATAGATTTCGATACGGAAGTAATGCTCCTATACGAGCTTACAAATAATATCTCCGATAGGTTGTACTACGATTAAAGCGGTGCTATTCTGTCCTCGTCCTAGTCCGGGTACTCTAATAATATAAGTAACCCTATAGTTTTCGGTAAAGTTTAAATACCCCCCGCTAAGAAAAGCCCCCTTACTTAGGCCGAAAAAGACCGTTAGATAAAGAATAACTTTTATATATACTGTAGCGGTGTAGGCTATTATATAATAGCCTATATTATAAAGAGAAAAAAGTTGGCCGGCTTTGCCGCCGTTTCTACAATAGTTAAAGTAGAAGTGGGAAAAACTTAACCTCTAGTAAAAAACGCTATTGGAGGAGGAAAATAAGGGAACCTAATAATTTTTATTTATATTCTATAGGCTTTAATACTCATTTTTTATTCTCTAGCTTTTTAGGGACCGGCTCTCTAGCGCCTATTCCCTATTCGGCTATAATCGATTCTGGGTATTTTCTTATAGGCTTTATCGATTCCACTTTTACATAAAACTATAACCTTCCTATTATACTATTACTTTACTTCTATATTTTAAGGTTTGTAAATAGTTAGGAGGATAGGAAAATTTTCGAATACTATATTATCTCCCTAAGTATTAGGTCTTTTATAGACGGGTTAGCGCTCTATATTTGGCCATTCGGCGGCCCCGATATTATCTTCCGCCTACTGTAGCTACGGAAGTATAACCCTACGATTAATTAGATTAAAGGAATGTTAAAATTATTAAGTATTATAGTAATTAAAATTCCACTACCCCTCCCTCGCATTAATATTATTGTACTATTATTCCCTCCCAACTACCTAACCCAACCTTCGAAACTTATACCTTACAATTATTCTAGCCCGATATTAAAACCCTTAAGATAGTACTATTGTACCCCCTCCTTTACTAAGAGGTTATGTATTAGCGGCCGTTCATAGCCTAAGGATAATACTATTCGTCTATTTTCTACCCCTAATTTCTTATTTACGTATAAGAAATCCGGCGTAGAGGTCTACTCTTTTACTCCGGTGCAATTATATTATTCTAAAGAAGAATTTGAATTGTATATTGTCCTATATTTATTAACCCCGCTACCGACTTAGATTAAACAATACGTGACTTTAATAATATACGCTTTGGACTATCCTTAAAAAGAGATTAATTAAGATACCCCTCCCTAATGCTATTGCGGGTTGTTATGGGGCTAGCGCCCAGGATTAAAGACTCGGCTTTACCAAGTCTGCTAAGGCGGGTCAGCCGTATCGATAAGGATGCGAGCCTCCTGATTGGTCGGGTCCACATGTTTGCCTGGCTCGTGTGCCCAACTATAAAACCTTCTTTTGACTGCACCCTTCTAGTGTAGTCTTTCTTCTCTTACTCTCCTTGTTAAATATAGTATCTCAACTATATACGACTGCTCGCTGTACAATACTCTAATAGACCCATTATATTAAATTTAACCCTCTTTTTAAATTAATACTATTACCAACCTCTCGTAGGTATACCCGAAGAATCTCCCCCATCCACAATAATAGCACCAATAATCCCTTAGTCCTAGGACCCTTAAGAACGCCTATAATAATTCAGTACCGCCTTTAAAGCTGTACTTAGTAAATTCGCTACCCTTAAAACCTTATTAACTACTTGGAAGCCGGTCTTCCCTACCTTTAATAAATTTTTAAGGAATAAAAAGGACTTAAAATATAAATTTTAAGCGTATAGGTTAAATTCTATATAAATAGCCTCGCTATTGGCGATTTAGAAGTATAATTTTACTATTTATTTGCTTATTTATCGCCCGCTATTAAAAAGCCGCTCGTTGCTTTCGCTACTATACTACAATCTCCTTAAAAGTTTATTGAAAAGTTTAGATTAATATACGGGGACCCTAACGTAATAAAAAGGGCTAATTAGGAGTTATACTAACTATATTAGAAACCCAATTTTAAGGAATCTATAGCGGCCTTTATTACCTACTTTAAAGAAGTATTATACTATACCCGTATAGATTTTTAATTTAATACCGTTAAGGTAAATTAATTTACTATTACCTTAAATAACGATTAGAAGTAATATTTATTCGACCGAACCAATATACCTAAATAAAACTCCCTACTATCAAATTACCTTCGCTATTTTAATAGTAATTTTTTTCTCTTCGCCTTATTATTAAAATACTTAGTTAAGGATAACGCTAGTAATTCTATAGATACCTTTATTAATTTTACTATTTCGATAAAGATAAAGGGGAATAATAATATATTTTAGAAGTACAAGAATAAATAGAAGAAGGAGGGTAAATATATTAATTATAATAGTAAATCGTACTAATTTAGGAAGTGCCTTCGGATTTCGAAAATAAATATAGTCCGGTTACAATCCGGTAGGGGTTTAAATAACTATAGTAGTAATACCGAAGGGGGAGAAGACTCGGACTAAAAGTTATTTAAGAATATTAGGGGTAAAGGAACGCTACTATATTTAAAAAGAGGAACTTTTAATAATTTATTAAATATACCTTCTATTAATTAGATAAGTAATAAATTTATTATATAGTACCCTTTACTACTTAGTTATATTAACGGTATTTATTATAAGAGTACAATCGTTAGAGGGTAGTAGACGTTATATTTTATAAATATAAGGATTTATTAAGATTTCCCTTTAGCGAAGGGATTATAAAAGTTATAGTAATATAATAATTCCTATTAGTAAAAGAAGTAGAGTAATATAAAATATTGAATAATAGTTTTAATTCTAATTATTAACCGGGTATAGATTTGTAATATAGTAGAAGAAGTTCCCGGATAAACAAGGTCTAGAAATATCCTCTAATTAAATCTTAATACCTACGGTTATAGGGTATAGCTTTATAAGGGTAATAGCGGGTACGCTAATTACTAATTTGGGTAGAGGGTAGGGAATTATATAATATTTGTTTAGGAGCTTGAATAGAGAGATTTTTCTTTTTTAGTATTATTATTCGTACTTATTTAGCTAGGCAATTTAGTAGGGAGTAATTGTAAGGGATTTTAATTATTTCTTCGTATATTTAGTAGAGTATTTTCTAATATAGTGGAGCGTACTCCCTAAGGGGGAGTAGGGGGGTAATGTTATAGGGCTAGCGCCTAGGATTAAAGACTCGGTTTTGTAAGTCTGCTAAGGCGGGTCAGCCGTATCGATAAGGATGCGAGCCTCCTAATTGGTCGGGTTTATATGTTTGCCTGGCCTGTGCGCCTAATTATAAAACCTTCTTTCGATTGTACCCTTCTGGTGCAGTCTTTCTTCTTTTGCTCTCCTTGTTAAATATAGTATTTCAACTATACACGACTGCTCGCTGTGCAATACTCTCGCAGACCCGTTACACGGGTTATAGGGACTAGGTCGTTGAGAAGCTATAATTCCGGCGGATTTCTATTAAAGATATTTAAAAGTATTTCGTTAGAAAACCGCCGCCGATTTGCTAGGAAATTTTCAACGCTTTATTTAATTACCTTCAGCCGTTTTGGAGCCCTTTTGATTTATTTACTACAATAATAATACCTTTCTACCGGCCCTTCCATTGTAAGATTGATTTGATTCCCGGCTAGAACTCTCTATATTATTGCCTACGCTCTATATCCTAAGAGGAATTGCGTATTATTCGGAAATATTTGGACGATTACTTAGTGAATGAATTTATACGCCTAAGTTCCTCCCCTATAGCGGCCCCGGTTTTATTAGTTGAACAACTGGGTGGCGGTATCTATATTTACGTCGATTACTGGGGTTTAAATAATATTATAGTTAAAAATTAGTATTTAATTCTGTTAATCCGGGAGATAATTAATATTCTTAGAAAAGCGAAATAATTTAGTAAATTCGATATTATAGCGGCGTTTAACTAGCCTCGAATCGCCCGGGGTAATAAGTGGAAAATAGCTTTTATTACTAAGTTCGGCCTTTTTAAATACTTTATTATTAATTTCGGTATAATTAGAACGTTAGCCTCTTTCTAGTATTATATTAACTATATACTTTTTAGAATTTTAAATAAATTGATTATTACCTATTCAAATAATATACTTATCTTGAGCGAAAGGAAGGCGGTTTATAAATAATATTTAGAGAGAATAGTTTAGTATTTTAAGAAAGCGGGCCTTATTATTAATATCCGGAAGTATAAATTTAATGAATACGAAATAAAATATTTAAGCCTTATTATTTCTAAAGAAAGCTTCTGTATAAACTTTGAAAAGGTTGATTCCATCCTTAATTAGAGCGTTCCCGAAATATTTAAGGATTTTTAGTATTTCATTAGGTTTATTAATTTCTATTAATAATTTATTAAAGGGTTCTTTAAAATAGTCTAACTTTTAATAGCGGTAATGTCCTAGGATAAATAGGTTTCCCCTATACCCTAGGACGTTGTTATAGCCTTTGAATAATTGAAGAATATATTTATAATAATATTAGTATTATCCTACTATTACTTTAAGAGGAAGATAATTATTGAGGTCGATATATAAGATTGGGCGTTAGGGGGTATTTTATTTTAGATCGACGAGGAAGGATAGTAGTATTCTATTACTTTTCTATTATTAAAGTATTTGCTTATTGAATATAATTATAAAATTTACAATAAAGAATTTTATATTATTATTAAAGTATTTAAAGAATAGCGCTCCGAATTATAAAGTATTAAGGATCTAGTCGAAATTATTATAGATTATAAGGGCTGCTAGTACTTTATTTCTACGAAGCTATTTAACTAATATTAAATTTAGTAGTCCGAATTCCTCAGCGATTTCCGTTTTTAAATTATTTATTATCTTAGGTTTTACATTATTATACTTAATGTATTATTCCGCCTACCCGGTAGTATACCGGTAGATAAACGGGATATAACCGACGATTGTATTACGAATAGGATATAAATACTCCTACTACCCAAGAATTAGAGTCTACCGCCGATTAAACTATTAGTACAACTCTTTATTTTAAATATAGAATCCCCTATTAATAATTATATTAATATTACTTACCGGGCGTCCTTAGAAGCGCTAATAGTTATTACGGCCTTCTAAAATCCTAAATATAAAGCGTTCTTCCAATATTTTAAAATTATTATTAATATAGCTATAGTTAATTGTAGCATCCTTTACGAGCGTATTTATATTAATAGGCGGATATTTATTCCCGTACTTTCGGAGACTAAGTTCTAAATTATTTACTGTATATATAGTTTAGTACCCGGAGGTTACCCCGGCTATTTTAAAACCTATAACCTAATTAAGCGATTATATATATAGTTTAACCTCTTTTATAATATGAGTATTTTCATCCGGGGTTGTTGATATACGCGAATTAAGAATTCGAAATTGTCCCCCCCCGTCCTCCTCGAACTATTATTAATCCCCTTTCGATCCTAGGCCAATACTTTAATAGATTTTATAAGTCCCCTTCCGGAAGTGAAGGTTAATGGCTATATTTATTTATATATTATAGTAATCGTCGATAGTTTATAAAAATGCGCTAATACGTGCCCGTTTATAATTTAATTGTTTAAATTACTATTAAAGCCTTCCTAAAGGAGGTTTACCGCCTTTATAGTATATTTAATTCTATTAACTTCGCTAGGGGCGTTTAGTTTATTGCCTTTTCTTAGAGGGAGTTTTATTAGTAGTTAGATATTTAGTAGCGGTTATCATTATTAGTATATTTCGAAACCGAGGGTTAAATAGAAATTATTAATATTATTATTGAATAATACTTTAAGGCGTTCCATTCCTACTATTAGGACGATTAGCTATAGTAGCTTTTATTAGCGGAGTTCGCTATTAATAATTATATTTCTAAGATTATTGGCTTGAGCCCTTTCCTTATAAAGTATAGATAGTATCCTAAGATGGGAATGGAACCGTTACTACCCTATAGCGCCCCTATATTGAATATACAATCCTAGGAAGTTTTAAACGTATAATATATTGAAGAAAGAGTAAATAGGGTTATTATGTAAGCCCGACTATCTATAGAAGCAGTTTAGGAGAGATACTACTATTATATTAATATAAAGAGATCTAATGTGTGAGATCACTAACGAGATCAAGCGGTTGAATACGATTAATTGAGTGTATACTATGGAGAAGAAGAGAGAGAGAGAGGGAGACTGGCGGAGTCTGGAAGGCTAGATGTGGTGCGGTCTAGGCAGGGTATAGAGTAGGGATTGGGCTGTGCCCAGCCTAGTGAATGCCCGGGACCTACCAATATACCCCTATAGATTGGAAGACCGCTAAAATAGTGTCTAAACCTCTATACTATTTATATTGTAATATCTTTTATAGTATTGATTAAGTTTAGGGAACCTTCTTTTGAACTATACCGATCAATTTAATAAATTTCGCGTATTTGTTCGGCTTCAACGGCTTTGTAAGACTATTAATTAGTATTTTATAACCCGGTAAGTACTTTATTGCAAATACTTTCCTATCCACCTTTTAGATTAATTATTTATACTATATATTAATATATCGATTTTTAGCCGGTAAGTTGGGGTTGAGGATCCGGTCTTTAATATTATTACTATCTATATAAAGAATCCTATTGATCTTATAAAGACTTAGATTTACGTTTAAATTATCCAATATTCTACTAACCCAGTCGAAAGTCTTAATTGTAGGTATTAAATTGGTAAATTCTATTTCTATAGTATTAATTGTAATAAGATCCTATTATTTAGACTTTTAAAGAATAGGGTTATAAATAAAGAATGCAATATAATTAACTATATTCTTTCCTAAAGGAATATTATTAGTAAAGGAGGCGTTTATATATATGTAGAAGGATGGGGCTATTGACGGCGAGAGTATATTACCTAATTTAATACCCAAATTAGGATATTCGGATAAATATCGCTATATATATTATATAATAATGAGGTAATAGTCGGTTGGTTTCTTAATACCCTTTGATAGTTTATTAATAGTAAAGGAGATATTTAGCTAAGTATTTATTAAAATCCAATTTAGTAAGTTAGTCTTCTTAGGGTAAAATTTAATTTCCTTTAGTAATATATTGTTACTCCTATAGATCTTATAGTCCGGTAGCTATAGTATTTTAACGCTATAAAACTTACTATTATTATATTTAGCGATAATTAATTTGGTATACTATTATTGGGATATAAAGACTATACGAATCTAATAGTCCCTTATAATATTATAACCTAGAAATGTACGTATTTATCCTAATTTTTTGAATTTGAAATAGTTAGCCAATTAGTCTTTAATTTAATTAACGATAATTATAGTTGGCGTAGTAATAAGAAGGTCGTTAATATAGAAGATTAGTAGCGCTCCTAGTACTTTATTAGTAAGTAAGTAAGAGTTTGTAGAGACTAGGATAAAATTAGCTTTTTTGAGTATTAGTATAAGGGTATTAAATTTATAAAGTAGGGAACGTTTAAGACTATAAAGAGCCTTAGTAAATTAATAAATTATATCTTTTTTATTGTAATTAGGTATAGGTTTTTTAAGTGTTATTGGCTATTTAATATAATATTGGGTATTATTGGGGATGGAGGTATTTAAGAAAGTAGTGTCGAAATTGAATTAGTAATATTTATAGTCGTTTATAGCTATAATAGCTAAGAATAGTCTAATTTTAATAGAGTATACTACTACTACGTAAATTTCCTATACTATTTAATTACCTTATTTGAAATTACTATAAATTACCTATCTAGCTCTAATTTTCTAATCTTTAGTATTAATATTATACTTTTCGTTATATACCTATTTTCTAGGTAGGATTTCTATATCTAGGGATTTGGGGACTAAGGTATAGATTCCTCTATCTTCGAGTACTTGGATTTACTTTTTTATAGCCGGCAACTAGTGTAATTCGAAATTATTTTACTTTCGTACGATTCGGTAATTTTTAGAGATAAATTTTTTTGCTTTGCCGGCGGTGATAATTACTATATTATAATTGATTTTAGCGGTAGTAAGGTGGTATATAGGTATTATTCGTTTTACTAAACGTCCCTCTACTATACTATAGAAATTATTAGGTAGTATTACCGAGTCTTAAACAATATTACTATTACTATCTTTTACCTACTAAAACTATATTTAAAATCTATTAGCTTGGCCGTAGAACAACGAGGTCTACCTTTACTTACCTCTATGTGTGGTGCTTGTATATTAGATTTAGGGGGTTGGCTTGATCCTTGTCCTAGCTGTGCCTGGGCAGGTTGTTAGCCTATAGGGTCTAACGAATTTGTTGTAGAGCCCGAATTCGGGTTCGGAGGGTCCGAATTTGAGGCTTATTACTCCGAATTCATCTTCGGTTGTAGTTGTAGCTTACTAACCCGCAATCCTAACGATAGGGTATATTATTGCGTACGAGAGGGATTCGGCGTACCCATTAGTAGTAATTGTACGGCTGAAGCAGGTTATTAGAGACTGTTAAGCAACGGGGTATTTAGAATAATATAAACTATTAATTCATTAGAATCGCATCGGTCGCGTTAATCGCGGGGTATAGGGTCTTCTTTATTAAAGTCTTTAAAATTAAAAAGGTCGTCATTATGTTCGATAGTATCCCTGACGTTTGAGGAATTTGACGGTTGAAACTAGAGTGGATTTAGCGATAAATACCTCAAAAAGTTTAGTGCCGCGACTATCGCTAGTGAAGATTCTAGTGCTGGAGTCGGGGTTGGTAACAGGGATATTAGCGTTATATTAATTAGAATATTCGGGGGAGCTATTATAGTTATTGGAATAGTCGAAGTAATTAGAGCGGTCGTAGTAACCGG